GTATCGACTGTAGTCTGTATATAGGTGTATATACAAATGATACAACTTGTATCAACTGTATTCGTTATGCCCAAGGCGAAATACAAAAATACAAAAAAAATAAAATATTTTTGTTGAGAGTCAAACTCAAAACCTCCACTTACTAAGTGGACGCTCTAACCAATTAAGCTACGAGAGTTTGTTAGTCTTTTGTTTCAGTTCAAAAAATTGATCTATTATTGTATGGATTTGCTATAAACTTTGAATATAACTACGAATGGTAAATTTGATGAAAGTATAGCTACAAATGATAAATACATGTATATGTTTGATATGTCGCGTAAAATTTTCCATCTTTTGAGTTAGGCACCATAGATCTAACGGTGCAAATTGCAAAGATTATTGAAGTATTGAAAAAATGCTCTCTAAAGATATATATATGCAGTACTTTCAATTTGATGAAATCTAGAATGCTTGTCAAGGTAGATGTGCGGATTTTCTCCAATCTCATGAAAATTACTTTTGTATTGGGTAGGAAATGAAGATATGTGAAGTTTCCTTACTGATAAGGATTGTGCTGGAGTGATAAATAGTTTTTCATCCCAGTCTACTACACACACAGCTGGCCCAATACTGTGACCCGGCCCAGTACCTTTATTCTTTATTCTTTCATTTTAAGTGTAGTATTTGTCTTTCTCATTTTTACATACATTTTACTTGTAAATATAAACATAGAACTAAGTGGAGAAATACAAAAAAAATACACATGATATTTTCCCAAACTTCATTTCTCTGTTTCTCCTTCTTCTTTTTCTCGAAGCTTCTGAGGTCCGACTCCAATGGAGTCACCATAGCTCGCTGAGCTTCATCACAACATGGTATCAGAGCAGGGATTCTAATTCCTCGTCATGTAAGCTTCATCTTCAACGGTAAATGGTTCGAAGATTTCACTGAAATCGGTCTCTTGAGTAAAGTTTGAGAACTCCGTCAATCCGCCATTACGCGACGAAAAATTTGGGGCTTTTACTGGAATCTCTTCTTGCGTCAGTTAAGTCGACTGGAATTCCTGATTCCGTAATGGATTCAAACAATTTGGGGCTAATCTAAATCTAGGGTTTCGTTTCTGCATGAAGACCTCACCTCTTTGGGTTTTGAGAAGAAGGCTGGTAATATCGTTCTAATCTACAACTCTGAAACTTATATTCTAGTGTTTTAGGTGATATAGCTTGGAGGTGTATGCGACAGTTTGTATGTCATCTGCATGTTGTCATTTTGAGCTTGTTGTATATTGATGTGTCGATTAGATTCTATTGATAGAAAATATGAGTAGTCACGGAGATGATATCACTTCACCCTCAGTCCCCACTACTGAAGGATTTGCTCCTTTTACAATAGATCCTTTTCATCCTTTTTATGTGCACCCATCTGATAATTCGGGTAGCCAGTTAGTGCATGTTCCCTTTAATGGACATGGTTTTGTATTGTGGAGAAGCAGCATGCTTACTTCTCTTTCTGCTAAAAACAAATTAGGCTTGTTAGATGGAAGAGTTGCCCAACCTCCTGTCAACTCTCCCTTTTATTCCTATTGGGAGAGATGTAATGACATGATAAAATCTTAGATTATTAACTCTGTTTCCAGGGACATAGCCACAAGTGTGATGTGTTTTAGGACTGCTAAGGAGGTTTGGACTGATATTAATGAAAGGTTTTGGCCAGTCCAATGGGTCTAAATATCTTCAAATTCAGAGAGAAATCAGTTCGACTGTCCAAGGGTCATCTGATATTGCCACATATTTCACCAAATTTAGGAGTCTTTGGGATGAGTTAAATTCTTCATATGTAGGCCCTATATGCTCTTGTGGGGCCCTTCCCAAGTTTATAGAGGATCAACAACTATTTCAATTCCTAAATGGGCTAAATGACTCCTATTCAACTGTGAAGAGTGCTATTATGCTTATGAATCCCTTACCTCCAATAAGCAAAGCTTACTCTCTCTTGCAACAAGATGAGAGCCAAAGAGAGACTCAAGCTTCAGTACCAAATTTTTCTAATGAATCTGCCTCTTTCTTTATATCTTCAACCACCCCAAATAGAAACTTCAATCAAAGGATCAATTTTGACTCCAGAAAACCCAACTCTGTTTCTTGCAAATATTGCAAGAAACCTGGACACACAATGGAGAAATGCTACAGATTACATGATTTTCCTGCGGATTTCAAGTTTACCAAAGGCAAGAAATCAGCTTCATATGTTCAGTCTGACATTCAAATCAATCATCCTACAGTTTTTCCTCAACTATCTACTGAAAATTCTGCTCATGGTTTCACCAAGGAACAGTATCATCACCTGATGACTTTATTCCAACAAGTCCAAGTGTCTCCTAGTGCTGGTTCTGATAATCTCCATGTTGAAGAATCTGGATTTGCACATTTTGCAGGTTTGTTCACTGCCTATGCTGCAGAATCTAATGATTTTCATGTATGTGCATCTTCTCAATTAGGTGTAAATCCTAGGATATTAGACTCAGGGGCTACAAATCATATGACTCCACACAAATACTTACTTCACAACCTTATACCTTTACCTAATCCATTTCTTGTCACTTTACCTAATGGATATAAAGTTAAAATATTGTCAACTGGTTCTTTACATCTCAGGCATGACATCATTTTACTCAATGTCCTTCTTGTGCCTTCCTTTCACTTTAATCTAATTTCTATACATCAACTAATATCCTAGCTGAATTGTATAGCTATTCTTACCAAATTTAATTATTCTTTACAGGGCCTTTCTCTGAAGAGGCCACTGGTAATTGGTAAAGCTGCTGGAAGACTATACTATCTACATCCTGATGATGAGTTGTTTCCATCTCAACATGTCTCTTCTGTTCTTTCAAATTCTGTTTCCTGTAATAAGTCTGATTTTCTTTCAACTCCTGTAAATAATCTTCCATGTAATCAGAGATCTACTGTGATAAAATGGAATTGTTTTGGCACCAAAGATTAGGGCATATGCCTTTTCATAGAATGACTTCTATTCCATTCTTATCTGATAAAGTTTCTTCAAAACAGTCCTTCATATGCTCTATTTGTCCAATGGCTAGACAACAAAGATTACCTTTTTATGACAGCCACATTCATTCCACTCCTCCTTTTCAACTGGTTCACATTGATGTTTGGGGACCCTATAATACTAGGACATACAATGGATTTAGATACTTCTTAACTTTAGTTTATGACTATAGTAGAGCTACCAGGACACATCTTTTATCTTGTAAAGGTAATGCTCTCTCTGTGTTAAAAGCTTTCACCTCTATGGTCAAAACACATTTCCAATCTTCAGTCCAAACTTTCAGGTCTGACAATGCTTATGAACTTGGTAGCAGTTCTGAAGTTGCTGCTTTCTTTAGCAATCAAGGTATTCTACACCAAACTACTATTCCACATACCCCACAACAAAATGGTGTTGTGGAGAGAAAACATAAACACGTATTGAAAGTTTCTAGAGCTCTCCTCTTTCAATCTAAACTACCTCCTAAATTCTGGGGTGATTGTGTACTAACTGCCACCTACCTGATAAATAGAATGCCCCTGACTACCTTAAACAACATCTCTCCTTATGAAAAACTACATGGAAATCCACCTTCTTACTCTCACTTAAAGTCCTTTGGTTGTCTATGCTTTGCAACCTCTCCCAAATTTGGAAGGGATAAGTTCCAATCTAGAGCTATACATAGTCTTTTCTTAGGATATCCCTGTGGAAAGAAAGGTTACAAACTCATGAACCTCTCAAATTCTTCCATTTTTTACTCTAGAGATGTAGTCTTCCATGAACACATCTTTCCTTATGGTTCAGCAACACCTTCTGCCATTCCTCCCTCCACTTTTCCATCTTTTGTAGATATTGATACTTTTCCTACCTCTGCTCCTACTGCTACAACAGATATGCTTGCCACATCTGATATCTCTTCCCTTCCCATTGATGAACCAAATATTCCAGATACACCCTCTGCCTTACATCTTCCCTCTCCTTCTACCTCTTATTCTACCCCAACTACTTGTGTGCTTCAGCCTTCTCCACTTCCACCACCTGCCCCTGCCTTAAGAAAATCCTCCAGAACAATCATTCAACCCTCCTATCTTCAAGACTATGTCTGTAATTCTGTCCTCCCTCTTACTCCTGATTCTGCAATATCTAAGGTATCCCACACTGCGCTACATGTGCATGACCTCAACATTACCAGCAGGCAGCTTCTCACCCTACTTGGAAAGAGGCAATGCTAAAAGAATTTCAGGCTCTTGAGTCCAATCAAACTTGGGACATTATTCCCCTTCCTCCTCACAAGAAGGCCATCCCTTGTAAGTGGGTTTACAAGGTCAAACAAAGGACAGATGGTTCAATTGAGAGGTACAAAGAAAGGCTTGTTATAAGGGGGGACACTCAGAGGGAAGGTATTGACTTCACTGAGACCTTTTCACCTGTTGTCAAGATGACAACTATCAAGTGTCTCCTAACCTTAGCTGTGAAAAGAGGTTGGACTGTTTTTCAATTGGATGTGAACAATGCTTTTAGGAGGAGAGATTACACGATTTGTTGATTCGGAAAGTGGTTATGAGTTTCTACACGTCTCTTCCGTCGTGGCAGTATTGCGAGAGTTGGAACATGGCTTATATGTGTTATGAGGTGTATTGCGGGCATCAGATTCGTGAAATAGTTCCTATTATGGTCAGGGGATGTTATTCTGATCAAGTGAATTATGTGGTGCATGGTGTGATTTTAGAGGATGAGCATGGTCATGTTGGGTACAGTGTCTGGTGATTGATGCGGTGCTCGTGTGTTAGAATCGGGTTTCGTGGAAAATTTTGGATGTTGGAGTTTGGTTCTAAAGCTTGTTAGCTAAGGTTAAAGGGATAATCTTCAGTCTGGCTCGAGCTAATGTGTTCAACTGGGTTGTGGTGGCACAGGTAGGTGCACGAGGTGTTAAACAGTGATTTTGGACAACTCCGAANATCCCACCTGGGATGGATGTCTCCTCTACTTCTGCATCTCCTCCTTTGGTTTGTAGACTCAAGAAGTCTTTATGTGGCCTCAGGCAGGCATCTAGGCAATGGTTTTCTAAATTGTCTGAAGCTCTGCATTCCGGAGGCTACATTTCTAGTCTCAATGACTATTCCTTCTTCACTAAGTCTTCTTCTGATTCTCTAGTGGTATTGGCTGTTTATGTTGATGACATATTGTTAGCTGGTGATGACCTTTCTGAACTTGACTCTTTAAAACAATTCTTGGATTCTCAATTTAAAATCAAGGATCTAGGTTTGGTGCACTACTTCCTAGGTTTGGAGATTTCTCAGCATCCCCAAGGTTACTTAATGAATCAACAAAAATACACCACTGATCTTCTTCAGAAATTCAATTGTCATCATTTCTTCCCTATTTGCACTCCTTTGGATTCTTCTCTTACGCTTACTGTGGACATGGGTGCCCCTGTTTCTGATCCTAGTGTATACAGAAGATTAATTGGGAAATTGAATTTCCTCCAACATACAAGACCTGATATTTCATTCTCTGTTCAACACCTCAGCCAGTTCCTTCAGAAGCCCCAGGTTCCCCATATGATGGCAGCTATCCATGTCCTGAGATATCTTCTGAATGATCCTGCTCAAGGTATACTGCTCTCTAGTTTTGATGACTTCTCTCTTGTGGGGTTTTCTGACTCTGATTGGGGATCTTGTGCAATCTCTCGCACGTCTGTTAGTGGGTTTTACATATCTCTTGGTGGCAGCCCTGTTTCCTGGAAGAGTAAGAAACAGCCTACCATATCCTTGTCTTCAACCGAGGCTGAATATAGAGCATTGAGGAAGCTGGCAACAGAGGTTTCTTGGTTGGTCAGACTTTTGGGTGACCTTGGTTTGGTCATTTCATATCCTGTTCCTGTTTATTGTGACAGTCAAGCTGCCCTCCACATTGCCAAGAACCCTGTTTTTCATGAGCGCACCAAACACATCGAGATTGATTGCCATTATGTAAGGGAGTGCATCACAGCTGGTCTTCTCACTTTGCACTTTGTATCTTCTTCAGGACAACTGGCAGATATTATGACTAAAGCATTGCCCAGCCAGCTGCATTATGGTATTCTTGGCAAGCTTGGTGTTTCATCACCCTCAAGCTTGAGGGGGGTGTTAGAGCCCAGTCTACTACACACACAGCTGTCCCAATACTGTGACCCGGCCCAGTACCTTTATTCTTTATTCTTTCATTTTAAGTGTAGTATTTGTCTTTCTCATTTTTACATACATTTTACTTGTAAATATAAATATAGAACTAAGTGGAGAAATAAAAAAAAATACACATGATATTTTCCCAGACTTCATTTCTCTGTTTCTCCTTCTTCTTTTTCTCGAAGCTTCCGAGGTCCGACTCCAATGGAGTCACCATAGCTCGTTGAGCTTCATCACAACAATTCGGAGGTCTCAGATTCAAATCCTGGGTATGGAATCGTCTTTGTAAGGGAGCGCTTTAACTCCCCTAATGTGAGACTTCCCAGCGTGAATTCGAATTTAATCGGGTCTCAATACGGATATCGGATGACAGACATCGGGGAAACAAAAAAGAAGTTTTCTTGGACAACAACTTAATTTGTTTGGCATGTTTTTGCAAGTTCTTAAAATATTGTTTGGTTATACGTTTAATTGAATTTTTGAAGATGAGTTTCAGAAAAAATTAACGATGAGTTTCAAATTTGAAAGAAGTAGTTTTTACTTCTTTTTCAAGTAAACGATATTTTACTCTCACGAAAATATAATATTTTTTCAAGTGACATGTTCAAACATAATTTTAATTTTTAAAGATAATTTTTCAATTTAACTTTAAAAGCTACTTTTTAAAAATATTATATTTTTTTATGTCCAAAAAAAAAAAAGTTTTCTTGGACAACAATCTAAGTTGTTGTATGTTTCTATTCCCAACCAAAAGCCGTTTCTTTTGAACACTCTGCAATAGAGTTAGGTGTACATATTTCAGCCATAGATTATCCAAAATATTGTTCATTTGTTTGTGAGTCAAAACACTTGGGATATAATCCATAATTAGAAAAATACATTAAAGGTGGACAGATGTTCAATTAGTCATTGGACTATTAAAAGTACCACATGGCCCCTAGGACCCTAAAACCACCCATGAAAACCAGGTGGCTGCAAATAAAAACTTAAAAAGGAAAAAAGAAACAGGCGGCTGATCTTTCTTGATTTAACTAGTAGTAGCTTTGGTTACACGCGCCCACACCCCATTAATATATGAACAAAAATTGGCCACTGTCATTCAAAGTTGATCCAAATCTCAATCCCTAAAGTGCCTCAAAGTCTTTCACATAACCAAGAAATCCTTTCTTATTTTTAACCATTTCTTAAAGTTAATTGCTTTTCAAGAAAAACTCACCAAAAAACCCCATCTCCCCTTTTTGATTTATCTCCTAGTAGTTTCTTTTTTCTCAATAAAATCCAAGTTCTTAGCTTTTCAACATAATCTATAAAAGCCCATCTCCCTTTTTCTGACTTATCTTATATATTTTCTCAATAAAACCCATCTTCCCTATTTTTTTTTTTTTTTGCGAGATTTATCCTCTATAAAACCCCATATTGAGATGCTGCACTTGTTCTTTGCTGTGGCGTTTTCAGCAGTGCCTTTGACTCTGTATATACCTCCAGTGAGGAGCTTGAATCTGTTTGTGGAAACAATGGAGGATATGTTGAGGGAATCGAGTGTTTATACAGGGAGGATGTACCCTAGGCTACGACATGCTTGGTCTAGGATCTTGAATTGTATGCTTTGTATTACTACTAGGTAGAGATTCAACTTCCTTGTGTTGGATCTTTGTTACTCAATCCAGGAAAAGTTTGAGCCTTTTTGTTTTGTAAATAATATATTTTGGATCTAATCTTCTCCTTTTTTGTTTTAAGTTTATTTATCAGAGTTTTTTTTCCTTCAAGTTAATTCTGGGTTTGTGGATTGGTTGGTGTTTCTCTGTAAGACTCTTTGTTTCAGAGAATTGATGGTTCATGTAAATGAAGAGCATTAATATCATAGGTTGCAACTGTTTCTATGCAAAGTTTCAATTTTTCTAATGGTGGAAACTACTAACTAGATTAACTTGAGACACACTTTGGTTATTCTTCTGTTACTTGCACTCTCTGCGTACCAAAAATTAGACAGATTTGACTATGATTTTCATTCCAATATAATCAACCACTCAATTGTTTGCCTAAGTGAATGTTCTCATATCTGTGGTTGGTTTCTTGTTTTTCCTTAAGGCTTTGTGAGATGGAGTATTGCTGTTTTGGTTATCATTGCCTTGGAAAAATTATTGCACAGTGACAATACAGATGAGGACTCCCTTTCTGCGGTGGGGTTCTTGTGTTGCTCCTCTTCTATAAAGTTTACGGGTGCAAGAGTTTTAAAATAATCATTTTAAGTTACTCGATTCTAAATTAATAATTAGTACATATTTGAGTTCTAATTATTTTAAGTTACTCGATTCTAAATCAATAATTAGTACATATTCACAAACACAGGGTTTGGACTAAAGCTATTGGGTTCGCCTAGCTCCGCCCCTTCATTTGTTGGAATGTAATGATGGAGATAAAGCTGTTTTTAGTTTCGATGGTAACAACCATTCACATTATTTCTTATGTTATCCTTGTAATAATATTTCTAGTTATCTTATTATATTACAAGGCATCACCAGCTCCCACGAACCATTCGATTAAAGGATAAAAAAACTGGGGAAATGAGGGTGGATGGGGTGGGGGAGCAATAATCACACAAAAGCAAGAAATGTCTCACAAGAATCCTTAGGTGACATTATGTAATTGGTGTTTGTTACAGTCGAAAACTTTATCAGAATTGTCTTTGATAAAGTATGCTAAAAAATGAATATAGGACAAGAGTATTAGATAACATTGTTTAATATGCTGGACCTTTGAACCGTTTCTTACAACTTATTATTATCCTCATAAACCAAATAAAATGGGGTAACAATAGATTATTGAGTGTATCAGAAACTATAAAGAATGAAAGAAGTTTTTCTATGAAAAAATAGTAACTGATAAGTATGAAGAATCACTTCATGAAATGTTCTCACATCTCTGGTTGGGTTCTTGGTTTTTCCTTTTAACTATTTGTAAATTGAGATAATAACGACCCAATTAACAAGACTCAAGGTTCAAAGTAATTGCTAATGATGGGATTTAGATGGTTGGCTTTGTGGATTTTCTACTATAGACTTGCTTCTTAAGGCTTATGAGATGGAGTATTGCTGTTTTGGTTATCATTCTCTTAGGAAAAATTATCAATACAGATGAGGATTCCCTTTCTGCTATGGGGTTTTTGTGCTGTTCCTCTTCTATAAAGTCCCTTAGCATTGGTCCATCTGTTGAATGATAAAAATGGAGATAAAGCTGTATTTTTAGGTTCCATGGTAACAATCAATCACATTCTTGCCTAATGTTATCTTTGTAGTAATATTTCTAGTTATCTTATTATATACTATTAACAATGGCATCACCAGCTCCCAAGAACCATCCATCCAATGAAAGGAGAAAAAACTGGGCAAATGGAGGGGGGGGGGGGGGGGGGGGGGGCTCTGTGGGGTAGTTCTCAATAATCACAAAAGCAAGATAGCTCACAAGAATCCTTTGGTGATATTATGTAACTGGTGTTTGTTATAGTTGACAACTTTATCAGAATTGTCTTTGATAAAGTATGCTAAAAACTGAATATAGGATAAGAGTATTAGATAACGTTATTTAATGCGGTGGACCTTTGAACTGTTTCTTACAACTTATTATTATCCTCAGAGACCAAATAAATGGGGTAAAACAATAGATGATTGAGTATATGAGAAACTATAAAGAATGAAAGAATGTTCAGCAGCAGTGGGTTGAGAGATTTTTCAGCTGGAAAGAGTGCAAGGTTTCAAGAACCAGAAAACATCTAAAGCTCTAGCAGCAGCTTCTTTTTCAGCAACAATAGCACCACCTCTTTGTCCTTGTTGATTATTACTCATCATCTTCCCTTGATCTTCCTTTCTCTTCTCTTCATTGCTGCTGCTGTGTTCCAGTTCTTGAAGGAAACCCCTTGTCTCCTCCTAATGTTATTTCATCATACAGATGCAGTATTATTAGTCTCAAGATAATTTGATCAACAGTTAAAAGCATTAAAAATGGAAAAGATTGAAGATTTATTGGAGGGCAACTGGTGCTTTTTGTTCTCTGTGGTTTTATTACTTTTGTTCATTTTGTAGTGCTACCAAAGAGTATGATCAAAACCATCAATCGAGCTTCTTTAAAACCTTTGAATGACTCGTTAAGGTTTATCTTATCCTATTCTGTTCAACTTCAGCAGCATCGTGATAAACAATCAAAATGCTGCTGATTCTTGCCAAAGTTCATCTCAAATATCATGTTTTGAGGATTAGTTGGTTGTAGCTCTTGGGTGGAATTCAACCCCAAAAACTAGTTGATGAGCTGAGGTTTGTCCAAGATAACATATATATAAGGAGACAACATCACATTTCATACACCAACTTGGGGTGCCACTTAACAGCAACTAGAAAATAAGGTTTCCCTTTGTTTTGGCCAAAAAGGCCGAAAAAGGGAATGATGCACTTCACAGCAGCATAGCAAAGAGGGTATTATAATCAAGTGTTAGTGAGACTGAAAATTTCTGAACAAGTATTCAACTGCAAATTGCAATCTAGTGACGAAAAGGTTTCGTACATACCAGAGGTCTATACTTTGCTTTAGATGGAGTGGCCTTTGTAGTTCCTCGGCTGGCTGAGAAACACTGAGGAGTAGGAGGATTCGTGCGGATCTGGGACAAGATATCTTCATCTTTGCGCTTAATGTTCTTCACATCCACAAGTATTGGTGTGTTTTCTGCATTATCATTTCTCCTGCATAGATTATAGTTCACCAAAAATGATACTCAATACAACTACTCTTAAGTCTAAAAATGGTCAGAATGAATGTTTTGCTTAACCTGTTGATAATTAGGTAAACTTATCTACAAAAAACATGTTAGTGTTTGTGTCTGAGGATAAGATGGCAAGAAATATGTGAAACTTACAGTAGCTTCCTTTTCTGTTTCTCGTTAATGTTGCTTTTTGACACTGTTTCATTAGTCTCTTTAGTCATCTCAAGCAATGGCTTCCTTTCCCTTTGCTCATCATCAACAATACAATCTTTTGCCTTTTGTTTATTTCCCATTAGTGGACTTGTTTCCAAGTTCTCATTTGCACCATTCTCTTTCTCTTTAGCTCTGATGGTTACTAGTTTCTTCAGCTCATTGCAGAAGTCAGTTACCTTATTCAACAAATCACCACCAGCAAAAAGATTCCTAGCTGAAAGAGTACTTTTCAACTTTGGTATCTGTTGTTCTTTTTGCAAGTAAATATTATCATCAACTGTCTTCTTCTCCGCGCTTGACTTGATTATTTGTTTCATCAATTTAGTCCTGAACCGAGGAGGGGTTGCAAAATTGGGATTCTGATTCTCGCTATCTTCGACAATCTTATCATATTTCAAGTCCTTGTTCAATGATACTGATGGTTGAATTTGCCCTCTCTTCTTCAGTGTTGCATCTCTGAAATTAAGAAACACCATTCGGTTCACAATCTTGTCCAAATAAAATTCAGTAGAATAAAAAACGGGCAACCCGGTGCACAAATCATCTCGCATCCACACACGGTACGGGAAGGGCCGCACCCTAGGGGTGTGATGTAGACAGCCTAGCTAATGCAAGCATTAGTGGCTGTTCCACGGCTCGAACCCTTGACCTATAGATTACATGGAGACAATTTTACCATTCCTCCAAGGCTCCCTTCAAAATTCAGTAGAAACCATTGCATAAAAAAAGAAATTGGTTTTTTTCTTCATTATTTACCTCCTATTTCTTTCCCCAAGAGGTATATCAGATACACTAGCTGATCTTTGAAGCTGTAAATTACAACAAAGTTAGCAAAACTTGAATAAGAAATGAAAGGTTATACTCCAAACAGAACGAGTTCATTCCATTATCTATTTGAAAAGTCAGGAAATCAGTTAACTAGCAAAAATCAAAGAGAAAAATTAGGAAATTTAAAAGGACAAATGAAGATTGACTAGAAATTTTCTTGAAAATTGCATAAACACTGAATTCACTTCTTCTTTTCCACAAGAAAAATGAAGAGCAAATCCTGAATCTTGCAGTGAATGGTGAAATTAACCATTACCCACAAGAACTCATTTACTAATATTCTTAAAACTAGCAGAAACACTCAAATTACAATACCCTTTTCCACATTTTATCAACAGTCATATGGGAACTCGCAAATTAATAAATCAAAACACAAAATTTTGGACCAAAGATAGGAAAAGAAACACAAACCTTAGAGGAGGAAGAAGGGGTAGTTGCTTTATAGAAATCTTCCACTGTCTTTGGATGATTACAATCTGCTCCAAAACAAGAAAAGGGGCAAGAAAAAGACTCAAAATTTAGTCAAATCTGTAGTAAAAAAAGAAATAAAGCAAACACATTTGTTGTTTGTATTAAGTTACCAGGTTTGCAGAACCAAGCATCATCATCGACAGGAGCATCAGGAGCAAGAAAATCAACCCATTGAGGTGCGTTAAAATGCTCCAAAAGATCATCTTTAACAAATCTTGAATCAATCGTTTTCCAATCAATTATGGCTATCTCCATAATGGGTTACACCTAAAAAAAATGAGAAGAAAAAGAGTTTAAGACTGTTTCTACAAAACTCAGATATAAAGTAAGAATTCAGAAGATTTTTTAAGTGAATGAATTCACAGGTGAAATGCAACGTTTCTTTGTTGTGGAAGGAGCTGACACTAAAGACCGTTGGGATTTAAGGCTTTTGGAGGGTTTTATTAATTATTTATTTAATTTCCTTTTTGACCGTTAGGGATTTTTCTCATTTATTTTCTTTTTGTTGATTTTTAATCCTATGGGAATTATGTGCAGATCTAATTTCGGATCCAAGGCATTTATCATTTACCGTGTATGCTTTGGTAATGTTGTACCACATGCTGAAGTATTGGTACTTTTTCCTATCGGGTCGAGAATTGCTTTGACACTGCTAGCTTACTAATTTTTTTTTCATAAAAATTCTGATCGATTTGATTTATTTCTTCTTTTCCCCCTTTTTTTGTAGTTTGAAGATTATTAAAGGTTTTTTGTCAAATCAAATTGTAACACTTCTTTTGCTTGCATCCATTTAGAGCCCGTTTGGCTTAGCTGATTTAGAGTGGCTGATAAGCATTAAGTGCTGAAAAGCAATTTTAAGTGCTGAAACTGATTTAAAAAATAAACAGTTACGTGTTTGGATAAAAGTGCTGAAATTATACGCAACTCAAGAACTGGGTATACGAAGAGTTTTGTTTTAAAAAGAAGTATTTTAGGGATATAATAGTAAATATTTTGATCAAAGTTAAAGTGCTTATAAGCTGAAATTTGTTAAGTTGGGTGAGACCAACTTATGGCTTTTGGCTTATTTTTAGCTTATAAGCACTTTTAATTTTACCAAACGCGTAGATAAGCCAAAAAGTACTTATAAGCCAGTTTAACTAGCTTATAAGCTTAGCCAAACACTCGTTTAGTTTAAAATACTAGGTAAGCCTCCTTAATTTCAAAGAAAAGTCTACCTTCAAATCTTACCGTCGCCAAAAACCAAAAATTTCCACATGTTTATCTCATTTAAAAAAATTAGGCCTATACATGAGTAGATACCTCCTATAGCAAAGGTTAAAATCTTATTTATTTTAAATAAATATCATTTAAAAAAATTATATTCTATAGAACCTTTTAATGTTTATAGCAAAATATTTAATTTTGGTTACCTCCTATCCCTAAGCCACTAAAAACGCTATTCAGTTACACTATTTTCTTTCTCTCTCTACTTTGATACATGCCATTCTCTTCCCCCATTTCCTGAAAACACGATGCTCAATCTCAAAATTCCTCTCACCACATCACCTACCATTAGTCACAAACGGTGATTTTGCCTGGATACTATTACAACCATTAGGCAAAAACATCATTAAATCTGTAAATACGGCGTTCTTCAACGGAGGAGGGTTCAGAGATCCAAACATCATAGTTGTTGCAGACACCCATGGGAAACCGAGGAACAGGGAGTGGGTCCGGAACACCATAATTTAGTGGGGAACCCAAGTTAAAACTAAGATCTTTAATATCGTCTTGTTCGTTGTCAGAAGAAGGAGAGGAAGAGCAAGACGTGTTAGTAGAAGAGAGTAAACGGTCAAGTGAGTCGTGAAAGCTCTGGTCCTCCTCGTTTTCTTCTTCGCCTCTGGTTTTGCTCATCGATGTATTTCATTGTATTCACCGTCTTTTTTTCATTGTATTTCAATGTATCCCGCTGTATTCTACATATTTCATTATATTCACTGTCTCGTTATATGCCATGAATGTATTCATATATTTTTTTTAATTAATATAATTTATGTATTCAGATAGATTATATAATTTCTCTGAAGATTGCTATGTTTTTGGGGTATTTTTCGGTTGAGAATCTTTTTTATAACTGAAAATATAAAATTTGTGTGTTATTATTGAGTTTATTGAGTTATATTAGGAGTCTATTATGTTAATTGATTCACTTTCCGTTTAAAAACAGTGTAATCCCATGTTTCACGCCGTGAATACAGTCGAATACAATAATCTGTCCAGCTGTAATGTTTCACGCCATGAATACAGTCGAATACACTCGAATACAACAACTGATTAGCCGGACTTCCTTGATTCACGCCTATTTTTGCTACTGTATTCATGAATACAGTAGCTTAAATACATCTAATACATCTTATAACAACAGAAAACGTATCTACAATACGTAATATAGCAAATGGTATCTATAGATAGCTAATTACCACTAAAAGATAGTGCTTTATGAAAAATTCTCTAAATTTTTCCTTTATGGTTTAATAGAGCTGTCAATATGGGCTGGGCCAGCCCACGTGGGCTTTAGCAATTGACGGGCTGGATTGGGCTAGCCCACCATTTTGATGGGCTTTATAATGATCAGTCCACCCCAGCTCTATGTGGGTTGCGGGTCCCAACGAGCTGGCCCATTATTTTTAAAACATAATTTTATATTTTTTCTTTAAGTTATAACCTAAAAATAGATAAATATTTAAAAGTTAAAAAAATCTTATTGGAAATTTTTTACAAAACTTAATAACTTTTTATACTGTTCCAATATATCACAATAAATACTACAAAAGTAAAAGACAAGACTATATTTCATTCACTAAAAGTCAAAACTCAAAACTCAAAAAAACTATTCAAGAGAACGTCCATGAGCTTATGTGATCTCCAACACATCATCTTCATCAAACACATTTGAATCCGTTTGTGAGAAGGTTGTCTTAACATCTTCACTTTCATCTACATCTACAATTTGTATGCAATATTAATTAGTTAAATGTTAAGAATAATTAAATTTTTAAACTAATAAACGTTTTAAGACTTTGATCTTTTAATATGATGAGTTTATAAACTTTAAGTTTGGAATACTCTTCTTGTTTTGTGTCATGTACTTTTTATATTTTATATACTTTAAATACGTATTTTTATTAGGCCCACGGGTCGACCCAGCCCAGCCTTAGTCAAGCCTCACGGGCCACGGGTTTACTCGGCCCGGGCTTAAAAGCCTCGTTTTTAAATGGGCTCCAAAAATTCTAGCGCATCCCTGCTAAATCACGGGCGGGGCGGGCCAAGCCCATATTGACGGCTCTATGGTTTAAGTTAATTTTTGTGTAACAAAATTATATCTCGTATATAACTCAATTTTTGTGTGACAAAATTTCATACGTGCATCAAATGAAAAAATTAAGAGAATATAAAATAGTTTTGTTACACATTAAAAATTCACACCTATAATATTGTTAGACAAAGTATAGGTGTCATATTTAAACCAAAAACAGTCTCCTTGATTCCCTCTCTGCCTATCATTTCCACTTTTAACTCCACTGTTAGAGGCAATACAAGACTCTCTCCACTCTGAATCTCTTCTCCTTCTCACTTAAAAGCAACCCAATTGCCAAAAACTTTTGATCATTTTTCAGGTACAAAACTTTATTGATTTTCTCTTGGAAAAAGAAAAAAAAACTCATACATTCTTCAAAGAGTGAAGGTAATTGTTTTGTTTATATCATTTTGTTTTCTCTTTAGATGATTGCTTCTATTATGTGATATGTTATATCATCATCATTTGGAGTAAGTTTTGGATCTAATTTTACATTGTCATACTTGTTTTCTGAAATTGAAACGTATATTAGAGTACTTTGACCTGATATTTTCACGTTTGGCTGAATGCATGATGACTAATTTTTAGCATTTGAACTTAACAATTTTTATTTTTATTCTTATTTTTGGTAGTATGTGGCTCATGGGGAAAAAAAAAATATAAGCTAGATTACTGTTCTCTAGGCAATGTATATAAACCAACTATTATGACGGCGATAATGGAACTCTGGCGATTTTTTCTCCTTTTGAATGATTAAATTGATGTAATATATTTCCTTTAGTATCCATTTTAAAATTTTAATATGGAAGCCACTCGTGAAGTTTATTTTTGTTGTTGTTCTGTAGCAATATGAGGTAACAAAGGTAGTATATGCATATATCTCACACTGATTTTGTTGCTATAATATGTTTTGAATATAAGGTTTAATGATAATTCCTGGTCATATGCGATGATTCATATTTTCTTATTTTGGTCCGATACTAATATATTTTTTGGATTAAATGGAGAAATATGGCCAGTGAAGATTTGTATAACCGGCCCCAACTTGTGGGACTAACACATAGTAATAGTTGTTGTAAAATTAATTTTTCATTTTTCTCAGTTGTGAATAAGGGGAGTGGGTAGTTGTTGTTGTGGACCATCAAACATATTAGTATTTGTATCAGTAATAACTACCAATTTTATTCTGGTAAGGATTAATGTTGGAATTTTAGTCAATGATTTATGTCTAGAAGTGGAACATATATATACATAGATATCTTAGTTGTTTTAAGGAAGAGGTCTGTTTCTTGCAATTTCACTATGTTTGTATTGCTTCCTGCAGCCAAAATGTGCTTGCACTTTAATAGTTTATCATCTTAGCTGCTTATTTATTTGGCTGTCAAATTCGTCATTTTCATCTTTTTTGTTCTTTAAGAGACAGCTATGACGATTGATCAGCCACAATACCCCTCTGTTGCTCATAAGGTATCTGGCAACTTCCTGGTTATATCTACCCAAAATCGAGATCTTCTGGCATATCAAAGGCAATATAAATATGGAAATCAGACGAAACCTTTGTTGCATCAATGTGAAGGAAAATATGACATGTCCATGGTTTCGTCCTACTCATCGCCAGTTTTTGTTCAAGCTCCTTCAGAGAAAGGTTTTTCCAGCTTTGCAATTGATTTTCTTATGGGTGGTGTCTCAGCAGCAGTGTCAAAGACAGCAGCTGCTCCAATTGAGCGCGTCAAACTCCTGATCCAAAACCAGGACGAAATGATCAAGGCTGGTCGGTTATCAAAACCATACAGTGGCATAACTGAATGTTTTAGCCGAACAATGAAAGAAGAAGGGATTATGTCATTGTGGAGAGGCAATACAGCCAACGTTATTCGTTATTTCCCAACTCAGGCTCGTTCTTTTTCTCGGACAAACTTGGTTATTTAAGATCCTTATTTCCTTCCTTCCCGTGATATAATTTTTTCTCTTTTTGTGCAGGCCTTGAATTTTGCATTTAAAGATTACTTCAAGAGGCTTTTTAACTTCAAAAAGGAAAGAGACGGTTACTGGAAATGGTTCGCTGGCAACCTTGCATCAGGAGGCGCAGCTGGTGCATCTTCCCTTTTCTTTGTGTATTCACTTGACTATGCCCGAACAAGGCTAGCAAATGATGCTAAGGCTGCAAAAGGTGGAGGGGAGCGACAGTTCAATGGTCTTGTTGATGTCTACAAGAAGACATTAGCATCTGATGGAGTTGCTGGACTTTACCGTGGATTCAATATTTCATGTGTTGGGATCATTGTGTACCGTGGTCTCTACTTTGGTTTGTATGATTCTTTGAAACCAGTTGTCCTCACTGGAGGGCTACAGGTAATGTTGCGTTACTACTAACTATAACTCTAGTGATCGCGTTCAGTATTAAAGAAGCATTTGTATTAGACTTATTTATTGATGAAGTGTCTGTGATGTTTCATATATGTGTTTCTTTTTTCTTCAATTGGTTTCAGGATAGCTTCTTTGCTAGCTTTGCACTAGGGTGGTTAATTACAAATGGTGCTGGACTTGCATCCTATCCAATTGACACTGTTCGTCGGAGAATGATGATGACATCTGGTGAAGCAGTGAAATACAAAAGCTCAATGGATGCTTTTACTCAAATATTGAAGAATGAGGGTGCAAAGTCTCTCTTCAAGGGTGCTGGTGCAAACATTCTTCGTGCCATTGCTGGCGCTGGTGTCCTTTCTGGCTACGACAAACTTCAAATGCTTGTACTCGGAAAGAAGTATGGATCCGGTGGTGCTTAAGATTGATCATTTTTTCCATCCCTACTATGATTCTTAATTTGGATTTTGAATAATTAGCTACCAAACAGAAGTATCTTTTTTACTTCAGTAGGAGAAGTGATACATTCTGTGGCAACTGTTGGTGCAGTTGCTAGTTTAGTTTCTAGGAGAGTATAGTGCCCAATTTTGATAGACATGGCAAGGCACGCTATGCATAAATGTTTTATTTCACTTTTATGAGGTAATCTCTTTGATAGATTATCCAACAACTCAATAATGTAGTTGAATCTTCTCTATATTATCATGAATTCTTTGCTTTTCCCCTCTTTTCTCTTCTAGTTACGACCGGAACTGTGGGGAGAGGGGGGATCGAGCTCTGAAGGATTAAAATAAGAGTTTAAGTTATATCCACTTAGCAGTGGCAAGGCCAGAGATTTCAGCAAGGGGATTCAGTATTTATAAAAATAGGCTATTCAAGCTTCTGATTCCGGTCAACGGGATTCAATCTTTGTATTTATTATGCATTTTATTATTTTAGACTTGTAATAAACATATATAACAAGTAAATTTTTCTTAGCAAAGGGTATCATATGAACCTCCTTGCTTCAATATTGCTCTGCCACTGTCATCGGGGACAAAAATTTTTATACAATCAGACCACTTATTAGATAATTACAGATAAATTTGGGATTGTTCAATGTTTACTTTTTCTAGCCGGTATACATAGATTATACCTTGATTATATACAGTTACACATATATTATACATCTATTGGCTATTTTTAATATAATAGATTAGGTGAGCTACTATTTGATTAATTTGACAAGCATTAATTGTTAATCTTATATAAATGAGTTAAGTTGAAGTTTAATGGGCTTCATTCTAGCTAAAAATATCACCCTTTCAATTATGAAGTTTTTTTGGGACATCCTCATGAATTATTATCTTCCTTAAGCCCAGGGTCTACGGGAAATATCCTCTGTGCCTTTTAAAGGCAGGGGCAAGGTCTACTTTATATAGTAAAATATGTTCATATTAAATGCTCGCATGATAAATCGACACGTGGAGCCGAAGACACAATTCGATCGGGTCCGAAGGCAACGATCTTGTTTGTTCCCGAAGAGAGTGATGATCATATAGGAGAAATAAATGCTTGCCACCCGGTAGCATTTAAGTGAGAATATATTATAGCATTAAGTACATAGTCCGTTACAAAGAATATGGCATTCACTGACTACCGTTACACATTCTTCAATAGCCCTCATAATTGACATTTAATAAGGGCTTGATCCTAGGACCTTGTTCCCTAGTTACCATTATAAATAAAGAACTCAACAACCATTGTAAGAAGGCGAATTTTCTGACAAGCCAATACTATACTCTGCTCAAAAGCTTAATACTATTTGATCCTCTTGTTCATTTATATTGTTCCTACTGCCTCCGGAAGATCTACTCTCGAAACCAAGATTTCTGCTATTTTATCTCGATTTCAAAGCTAAATCTTACATTCTTGTCTAATTTATTTATTATTTTAGGATAACATTGATTCACTTGTCTATAAACCACGTATAAATTTAACTGTATTGTTTTATGGGCAAACAGTTTGGCACCCACCGTGGGGCTTAGACAATTTTATAATTGAGTTGATCCTTTCGTCTATTACTAACTCGTTTGATTATTTGTTCTTAGCAAAAATCGTAAAAAATGGCAGAAAACGGTGTCAACATCGCACACAACGTTGAGGCCCAAGGAAATCAGCCTCAACACGAAGATTCAATCAGTGATGCCCGCAACAAGGGGGATGGGCCATGCTGGTCCACGACAGGTAGTATCCACGACATGTTCGAGAAGCAACTCCTGATGATGCTGAAGACGAGCACGTCGTTGAAACAATTAGGATATTGAGAGAGCAACAAAAAGCCATTATGGGCCATCGACGAGATCAGGTCATGTCGGAGTTGAAGCAAGCGCTATCAGATGCTTCCAACAACGCGAATGAATGAGGTCCAGTTCCTCCCGTTGCTTCCCCAAATCAAACAACGCAAAGAGTTGACAACAACAACCCGAGGGGTGAAGTCGGCTTCGGCAGGGCTGGAGGGAACAGTAGCGTATCCGGTAACAACAACGAGAGTGATCCCTTTAAACCCGAACTCATGCGGTTTATGAGGGAAATAAACGATCGAATTGATCAAATTTCGGGCGCACCACCAGTGTTGAAAGGACCGGAATCAAAGAAATATGCCCAATTACTGTTCAAACCAAACGCGGTAGCAGAGTTGATCCCGAAGCGGTTCAAAATTCTAGACGTGCCGAAATATGATGGGACTTTAGATTCTCAATAGAATATCACCACTTATACAACGACGGTGAGGGAAACGATTTAGCTCCGAATGAGATTGAGTCAGTCTTGCTGAAGAAATTCGGGAAGACCCCCATGAAGGGGGTCCTGACATGGTATTCACTCTTGACCGAGCACTCAATAGATTCCTTCGAGATGCTCGCGGATTCTTTCATCACGGCCTATGCCGAGGCCAGGAAGGTATATGCATGAAAGGTCGACATATTCAGGATTGCATAAGGAGAGTCCGAATTGCTGCGGGAGTTCGTGACCAGATTCCAAAAGGAAATGATGCTGCTACCGGTCGTACCGGACGAATGGGCAGCTGAAGCATTCACTAAGGGTCTGAATCCAAGAAGTTCCGACGCTTCCCGAAAATTGAAAGAAAGTCTGCTCGAGTTCTAGGCAACAACATGGGCAGATGTTCACAACAGATACGAGTCAAAGATAAGAATTGAGGATGATAAGCTCGGTTTTCCATCATTAACCAAGGGTCGGGACCGGAAAAAGAATAAAAAAAGTCAAAAGATGATTTCGACACAAATCGACGGTCTTCAAGAGGCCCGTTTTTGCCTTATGGAAGGGCCGAAGGACGTGGTAGAGGTTTTCGGTCGGCGGATAGATTCGCAACCAAAAAAAGAGCAGATCGCGGCCGAAATTATTGAATACTGCAGGACAAGGAGATGTCGACAGTTCAAGCTTTTATACCCTTTTTACCTCATTATAAAATTAGTATGGGTAAAATTTTCCTATATATAAAACTATGATTTGGGTCAAATTTTATATTATATTATTTATATACAACATAGTTTTTCTACCTTTTATATAGAAGAAAAGACAAATGTCTGCATTTTGGTACAAGTTGATCGCACAAGGATTGTGATAGTCTGACGGACATTCAAACTTGAATAAAAACGTGTCCACAAAACAGCAAAGTTTACAACACTATTTTGGAGAGAAAAGACATTCTTATCATGTCTTTTACTAGCAAGAAGAACAACATTTTGCAATTGAAGAGTTTCGGTTAAGCAATTGAGTCGATCAATACTCGAATATATCTATGCGTCTCTCTCGCTCCCCCTTATGTTACGGTAGTTACTCTGTGATCTATGAAGCTTTCTGTGTAGGAAGAAGAGGACATGGTGGGCCTTTGATAAGTGTAGATTTTGACCACTTCTTAGTACCTTTTTACTTTTATTTTAGTCCGAAAGTGTTGATTTATGTTCCCAAAATTAATGAGGACTGTTGGAGATTTGGGCTCTTATGAAGAAATCCGACTCAAAAAGGAGTGTTCCGACTCACAAGGCAAAAAGGGGCGCATCAGAAAAGAAGTGCAGTCTGCAGAAGCAAGTGTGCACCTCAGAATTCTCTCTGCGGCCGCCGTCCAGTTCCTATAGAACCTATCACTAAAATACCCCTAGAGGGGGATAAGGCTAAGCGGAGCGCACATTGATTCCGCTCGTTCCCGTCCTTCGCTTCAGGGCCTGTCGATCTGATGAAGAAGCCCAGAAGTAATTGAAAGAGGAGTGCGGACCACACATAATATGTGCGACCGCAGAACCTGGTCGCACTGACAAGAATTCAAAAAGTTCAGAGAGTGTGCAAAATGACCAAGACTGAAGCCTTGCCTGAAGTGCGGACCACACATGAATTGTGCAGCTGGAGAAGCTGAATTGCAGCCACAAATCAAATTGTGCGGCTGTAGAATCCATCCCCTGCAGACTCAAGCAATGTGCGGACCACATATGGAATTGTGCAGCCGCAGAACCCCCAAGGAGCATTTTTGTCAGCGAATTTTGAGTCACTATAAATAGACGAGAATCACATTTTTAGGTCAAGTTTTGAAGTTTTCTCAGTTGTAGCCGTTTTAGTTTACCATTTTGGGTAACGTATGACCATTTTAGGGCAAAAACATCATAATTTATCATTTTAATTTTATATTATGGGTTTAATTAGTATTTCTTCTCTATTTTCTTCACTTTCTACTATGTGTAGCTAGACATTTACTAGGGTTGTGACCCAACCCTAGTGTGTAAACCTTATGGGTGTTTAATTTAATGCTTGTTTATGATTCAGTGTTTGTTATTTAGCCTTGTTCATGCTTTAATTTTAGAATTAATGGTTTCAAACATTGATTCATTCCTTTTTGACTTGGTCTTTACTTGAGAAAGATGGACCTAGTCTAGGAAAACTTGGCTAACAAAAAATTGAGCTAACTAAGGATTTGACTAGCCTAACTAAATGTTTTGAACTAGAGATAGGGAAAACCCGACTTGAGCTCATATTACTATTTAGCTTGATACCTATTTGGGCTTGAGAAAACCAAATTGGGCAAAATCACTCTATGATCGAGATGTATTGAGTGGGTAACTGAGAGTTAAGAGCTATAATACACCCCAATCAATAAAATAAGTGTTAATGTAATTAACCAATTAGGCAAATACCTAGGCGAAGGTTACATCCCTAGGCTTTTTACCAATTTAAAAACAACCAAAAATAATTAGTCAATTGCTAGTTTCATTTCTCTAATTGAGCATAGATAGTGTAGTTCATAGAAGTAATTTGCAACACAAACTTGTTTGGAAGTGTATTTAAGCTGTTTTGTTTTCACACATCAACTATACACTCTAACACCCATTGTTAGCTCTATGAGAAAATCGACCCCGACTCATAAGTTGGGTACTATTCTTCCAACGACCTCTTCCACTCATTGTTGAGCTTGGATTGGGAGTGGATCAATTATTGGCACCGTTGTCGGGATTTAAAACGGTGTTATCTATATATTTGAGTGTGTTTTTGGAATATCTTCTTTCCCTTCCGTGTTACTAATTTGTTTAAGAAAATATAGGTACAAACATGGCGAACAATGAGCTCGGAAGTTTGCCTTTGGGGGACTTAGACGGCGAGGAGGAACAAGTAGATGAGGTGCCTCAGGAGCCCAAAGCCAACCAGAGAGGCCGGGTACCATATGATAACGGGCCCATTCCACCCCCACCACCACCACGAGCGGCTCAACACCGGATATTGCCCAATGAAAGTTATGCTAGTGCAATAGTCCCTCCCCGTATTAGGGCGAGCAACACTCAAATCACAAACGTGATGCTCACATTACTTGAGCAACGAGGTTTCTTTAAACATTTGAAGGATTTTGTGGATACATGTTGGGGGAGCAAGCGAACTAATGTTTCCGAGGATGCATTGAGGCTAAGACCTTTTTCCTTCTTTCTACGTGGGAAAACTTTAGATTGGTTAGAACATTTGCCGAACCATTCAATTCACACTTGGGATGAGTTGGCGGAAAAGTTCATTGCTAAATTTTTCTCTCCCGGGCACATGGCTACACTTCCAGATGAGATCTTGGCATTCAAACAAGAGCCAAATGAACCACTACACGAAATTTGGGAGCGCCATCGAACAATAGTTAAGGAATGTCCCAACAACAATATGATGGAGAACATGATACAATAAACCTTTTATCGTAGGATTAACAAAACCAACCAATGTGTAGTGAATCAACTAGCCGGTGGGAACTTTATGACTAGGCCTTATACAGAGGCATGTGACATCTTAGATGAGATGTCGGAAACATCGTCAGCTTGGAAATCCCGGGCTAATGTCCCACAAGGTGATCTAAATATGATCCACCTTCACAAAGAATTGCAAGACCATGGGCAAGCCATTGTCGAATTGACCACTACCATGACTCAACTAACAAAGGCTCAACTGAATCAAGTGCAAGCCCCTAAGCAAGTTCATGCTTTGGAGTAGGGGTGTTCAAAATCGAAGCGAAACCAAAAACCGAACCGCAAAAATGGCTTAATGGCTTATTGGTATCGGGTTATCGGTTTAACGGATGGGGAACAGATTGTAATTTTTTTATTAACGGCTTATCGGTTTGGGGGCAGATTATTCAATTTTCTTAACGGATAATCCGTTAACCCGTTAAGAATCTATGTAGAAATTTTCTATCCATATGTATATTAAATAATAAAAATTCCTTTCACACTTAATGACTAATGAATGGACCAGTATAGTATTATTATATTAAACCCTACACTCATAAGTCAGATCTCAATTCTCACGAGCAACAATAATTCACAACCCAGCCGCCAGCTCTCTCGACCTCGAGGCTCGCCTGACCTCTCCCTCTCGCCGACTCGCCTTCCCGCTCGCCTTTCCCTCTCGCCATAGCCAGAGCAGGCACCAGCAGATGGTAAGTTTACTAGTTTAGTATTCATATTCAAGCTTAAAAGCAATGAAAATCTACACATCTTTTGATTTTCGCAGATTAGAATAGTTAGAAAGATTAACTAGACCTTATGAATAACCTAAACAAAAAGAAGGTTAAAATAAAGGTTTTTTTGGTAAGCGTTAATATATTTGGTAAGTTATTTGTTGGTGATGATAAAAGATCAAGCATTGTGGTTAGTAGTAGACTAGTGGTAATAGTATTCTCTAGGTTCTAAGCATCATACTGGATAATACCTTGTGCTTTCTACTTAAGTTGTTGCTATTATTGGGAAAATAGGTGCCAAAACAAAGTTAGTATTGCTGCAACAGCCACCAGACTGGAGAAATACAATAAGTCAGCTTATTTTATTATTTCTGGTTCTGCTCCCGTTGTGCTGTGGTTCTAGCCAGTCTTTATCTGGGACTTTTTATGTGCGTGGATGTTTTGAACTAAATATTGGTTAGAACTTACATCTATTTTCATTCTTATTGCATTTCTAAAACTACCTATTTATGCTTATTGTTAACCAAGAAAGATGCTTGTTTACATTAGGCTTGGTGAATCTCGGACAATGAAATTACCAAGGTTATGGAAGATGTTGTGAGTTCCACATATTTGAAAAACAAGATTGAGTTGTTAAAAATGGAGGTAGCAAAGGATGGAAAGACAGCAGATGCTGAGTCAGAGGCAACATGAGAAGTTGAAGGCAAGAAATAGGTTTGGAAGTGCTGAAGCACTGTTGGCTTTTTGCTAGCATGTACTAATTATTAGTAACGCATTAACAACGTAACATGAAAAACCAAAATAGTCCTCTGAATACAGATTGAACTAGGTCGATAAACCGCCCGATAATAGTTAAACCGATGCCAAGCTCCCCGATATCTTATCGGGTGGCTAGCGGATTAATACATTTAAAAGCTGATAACCGATAAGCCGAACCGTTAAGAGTAAATAACCGCCCGATCCGCCCGATAAGCAGCCCTACTCTGGAGGGAGTGAATGTTTTGGTGAACAAGAGGAGTACTAAGGGTCCACAAGTGTAAATTCTAGTGGAGAACTATGTGAAAGATGATGGTAATTTTGATCAAGATGATTCTTATAATGAGCAAGAGGAGGAAGTGCAATATGTGAACAATTTTTAAGGTCTAAGAAATAACTTCCAAGGCCCAAACCAACAACAATAGCGTACATAAAACAATCATGGCAATTGGATTTCTAACAATCAAGGGAATTGTCATAACAACAACAACCAAGGAAATTGGGGAGGCAACAACCAAGGAAATTGGGGTAACAATCAAGGCAACCAGGGTCGGGTTTTCAAAGGCCCCCAATGTATCAACATCAGAGCAACCCACTGTAAGGTTATCACTTGATTTATAAGTTAATTTTGTGTTTTGAGGCCCTAAAAAGCCTCTTTTTATCTCACCTCGATTTGCGTGTGCGGTCCGGGCGTGTATCCGAAACGCTTTTATGGGGAAATTTGATAAAAATGCTAATTTGGCATTTAAAATTTAATTTAAGTTGACTTCGGTCAATATTTTGGATAAACGAATCCGGACCCGTGATTTGACGGTCCCGGAGGGTGCGTAGAAAAATATGGGACTTGGGCGTATGCCTGGAATTTAATTTCGAGGTCCCAAGCCCGAGAAATGAATTTTTGAAGAAAATTGTTTAACTGAAATTTTAAGAGTTTTTGGAAACTTAAATGTGTTTGAATTTTGTGGTATGGGGCCTATATTTTGGTTCCGGAGCCCGGTACAGGTCTTCTATGGTATTTAAGTTGTGCTTGCAAAATTTGGTAAGAAACGGACTTCATATGACGTGAATCGGACCCTCGGTTGTGAAACTTGAAACTTAAGAGTTCTTGGGATTTTTCTTTGATTTTTGATGCTAAATTCATAGTCACTGATGTTATTTTGATGATTTGATCGCACGAGCAAGTCCATACGATATTTTTAGACTTGCGTGCATGTTTGGTTTGGAGCCCCGAGGGCTCGGATGAGTTTTGGATAGGCCACGGAGTGAAATTGGACTTAGGAAAACTGCTGTGTGTTGCAGGCCTGTTCGCATGGCTCGCAAATGCGAGCTCGCATTTGCGAAGAAGCATCGCAATTACGATAATGGGTTGGGGTAGGGAACCTTAGCATTTGCGAGGCTTATGTCGCAAATGCGACCTTAGCAGGCACCGCAATTGGGAACAGTGTTCGCATTTGCGAAGAAAGCAGAGATAGGCCATCCTTCGTAATTGCAAAGCTTTGGCCGCAATTGCGAGTTCTCATTTGCAAACATATCATCACAAATGCGATATCTGCGTCTGTGTAAATCATAACTTAGCCGAAAATTCTTCTTTTTTCAAACTCCCTCAAGCCCTAAGCTCTCTTGGGCGATTTTCTAAGAAAAGTTCTTCTCCAAATCGATTGTAAGTCATTTCTAACTCATTTTATTTAAGCAATAACATATTTTCACATGATTTCAACTCAAAATCAAGGGTTTTCATGGGGGAAATAAGTGTTTTGGGTAGAACTTAGGATTTTCAAATTTTGGGGATTTAGACCTCGATTTGGGGTTCGATGTCAAAACAAATTATATATTTGAGTTCGTGGGTGAATGGGTAATCTGGTTTTGGTTCGAACCTCGGGTTTTGACCATGTGGGCCCGGGGTTGGTTTTTGACTTTTGGGGGAAATCTTTAGAAAACCTATTTCAATGCATTAGAATTGATTCATTTAGCATTTATTGATATCGTTAAGTAAATTGTGGCTAGATACAAGCGAATTGGTGGTGGAAACAAGAGATAAAGCGGTAGTTGAGGCTTGAATTGTGTTCCTGGCATCGAGGTAAGTGGCTTGTCTAACCTTGTGTGGGGGACATTCCCCCTAGGATTTGGTATTGTTGTTATATGAATGCCGTGTACGTGAGGTGATGAGTTCGTACACGTGCTAATTGTTGGAAACCCGTTTTTCATTAAGTAAATTAACTGTATTTCTTTCTTCTTGAACATTTCTTGTATTTTAAGCCTACTGCGTAGTTTAGGGAAGCATGCTTAAGTATATTAATTGTCCTATCTGCTTAAACTGTTTATGTGAGCTCTGTGCAGCATGTTAGGTTAGAATTACCTGTCCATTTTGATATTAATTGGTTTGAGTTGATTATCCTTGTGTTGTTGCTGCGTGTTTACATTGGGACTATGGGCGGTTCCCGGTAGATCCCCCCTTGTCTGTTTATTTGGGACTACGGATGTGGTATTCCGCTAGATCCCCCTGCACAGTTATATAGAACTACGGGATTGCACCCGGTAGATTTCCCCCAGTACTGGGTATTTACATTTGGGGGCTACAGGACGATATCCTGGTAGATCCCCGGTTGCTGGATATTTACATTTGGGGGCTACAGGACGGTATCTTGGTAGATCCCCGGTTGCTAGATATTTATATTTGGGGGCTACAAGACGGTATCCTGGTAGATCCCCGGTTGCTATCTCTGTGTTGAGCTGTATTCTTTCTGCGATATTTTCTCTGTTGTAATTGTTGTTATTCTTATCATTATACTGTGTTACTTCATATTGTTTCGCTCTTGATTGAAATTGTGGATTCTTTCCTTGATATTGTTGCCTTTTTATTTTGGGACTACGGATGAGTATTCCGGAGATCCCCTGCACATATATTGATTTTTACTGTAGTGCGGGATACCGAGAGATCCCCATCACATATATTGAGGATACCAAGAGATCCTCGGGATAACTAGAGATCCCAAGTACATATATTGAGGATACCAAGAGATCCTCGGGATACCAAGAGATCCCTAGCACACATATTAAGGATACTGAGAGATCCCCGAGTATTTACATTTGGGACTACGTGACAGGATCCCGGGAGATCCCCTGTCGATGTTTCTGTGTACTGAGTGTATATTTGTCTCTGATTTCTTCTCATTTTCTAATACTTTTTTGATTATACTATTGCACCTTACACTATCTTACCTAGCTTTATATTTTTTAACCAGTAGCCCTGACCTTCCTTGTCACTACCCGACTGAGGTTAGGCTTGGCACTTACTGGGTACCGTTGTGGTGTACTCATGCCCTTTCCTGCACATGTTTTCCGTGTGTAGATCCAGGTACATCGACTCAGCCATATCGTTAGCGAGGCGAGGTGATCTCTAGAGACTTTGAGGTATATCTGCCACGTCCGCAGATCGAGTAGTCCTTATCTACTCTCTCTTTGCATTATAGCCCTTATGTATTTTTTCTTTTGTTTAGACACTCTGAAGTTAGAACACTTTGTAGTTATTGCATAGCTTGTGATTTCATGAGATTCCGGGTTTTTGGGAAATGTAGTTTCAGTTTGAGAGTTTGTATTGTATATGCCGAGCGGCATCTTAAATGTTTCATTATGTTATTCCGCAGTTTTTGGCTAGTTTTATTCTGTTGTTTCTTTTTCCGCATTTTTGTTAGGCTTATCTAGTCGTAGAGACTAGGTGCCGTCACGATAGTTCACGGAGGGCGAACTGGGGTCGTGACACCCACCTTTTTATCATTCGCATGGTTCAAGTTCTTCAAACAATGAGATGGGACGTATTGAGAATATGTTCAAGTAAATGATGGAAAAGAATGCCGATTCGGATGCCCAACTTGCTTCACACAACACATCAATCCGAAATCTAGAAGTTTAAATGGGAAAAATCTGTCAAGCTCTAAATTCTCGTCTTAAGGGTGCACTACCAAGTGACACAGTGGTAAACCCAAAGGGTGGTAACAATACGGGGCATGCTATGGCGATTATCACAAGAAGTGGAAGAGGCGGGAATGCACTGTAACGACCGAACCAATTATTTTGATCTCTAGCAAGTCATTCGGCGGTTGAGGCCTCGAATAGATTCACTTCATGTATTATGAATTGTACGCATAGTCGTAATCGAATTTAGGGAAGTTCGGACTTGATCCATGTGGAAAATTCTCAATTCGGAAGCTTTAAGTTGGAAGAATTGATCAAGGTTTGACTTTTGAGTAAAATGCCCCAGAATTGGGATTTGAAGGTTCCAATAGCTTTGTATGATGATTTCGGACTTGGGAGAATATCCGGGTTGAGTATCGGGGTGGTCCGGGATCATTTCGGCGCTTATTATGAAAAGTTAGCATTTTGAAGATTTTTGGATTTTTTAAGTTTGGTTTGAAGTGAACTTTGGTGTTATCAATGTCCATTTGGGGTTCCGAGCCTTGGAATAGGTTTGTATCGTGATTTATGACTTATACGTAAAGTTTGGCATCATTCTGGAGTGTTTAAGTATGAAGCGGACGCGTTCGTCGATGTTGGAATGTTTGAGAGTTAAAAGAAGGGATTTTGATCGTTGATTCGTAGTTTTGACGTTGTTTGATGTGATTTGAGTCTTTAAAGTTTTTATTATGTTTTAGGACGTGTCAGTATGTTTGGATGGGGTCCCGGGGGCCTCGGGTTTGATTCAGATTGAAAATTGACTGAAATTTGGGCTTAGAGGGATGCTGTTGTTGCTGAAGTCTAGTGTCATCGTACCTGCGGAAGGAGTGGCCGTAGGTGCGGTCACAAAGGTGCGGTGGTTCGTCGCAAGTGCGAGATTTATATAGGAGGCCTGGGAGCACATGTGCGAGGAATATTCCGCACCTACGAGGTCGCAGATGCGGAGGAGAGGTCGCAGAAACGGAATTAGCCAAGATGGCCTAGGGCTGCAGAAGCTAACTTGGTCACGCAGGTGCGTGAGCGCAGAAGCGCCTGTTTCCGCAGAAGCGGAAGCGCAGATGCGCTTTTTGGATCGCAGAAGTGAAGGCTATTGGCTTGAGTTGGAGCCACACCTGTGATGGATTTTCATAGGTGCGGAGCCGTAGAGCGGCTATTCGTCCGCAGATGCGAAAGTCGCTTGGGCAGTGAGTTTTTATTTCAGGTCTTAGCGCATTTTTCTAACATTTTCATTTGGTTGGGCAATTCTTGGAGCTCTTGGAGGGAAGATTTTCATCATCTATTGCAAGGTAAGTAATTCCCACATATTGTAGTTAATTACATGGATTCTATAAGGATTATAACGTGGAAATTTGTGGGATTTTGAAGAAAAACCTCGAAATTATATTTTTGGATTTTGACCACAAAATTGGACATAGAATTTGGAATAAATCATATATTTGAGTTCGTAGCATTATGGGTAAAGTTTATCTTCGAAAATTCTCAGAATCCAGGCACGTGTGCGTGAGGCTTGACTTTTCGAGCGGAGTTGAGAATTATTAGAAATTGTTAAATTATACGCATTGGAGTATATTTTGATTGATTTTCACATTGATTGACTAGTTTCGGATCGATGGGCATTGGTTTGAGGTGTTAGAGAGGCGTTGGAGCCGGTTATGGAACTTCGGAGCGAGGTAAGTCTCATGTCTAACTTTGTGAGGGGGAACCCACCCATAGGTATTAAATTTTCTTATGTGCTACTAGTTGTGGGTGCTACGTACGCACGAGGTGAAGAGAGTCCATACGTAGCTAAAAACATGTTTATGTCCGGGTAGGTTTAGGACCTCATCATGTAATATTTGAATCATTTGAACTCTTTTTTGCTTGCATAATTAAGTGAATTTCTAATTGAAATTGATTTGGGAATATATTAGGCCGAGTTTTATCACCTTAAGTTGTTTGGCGAGATATTTTATAAAAGATAAAAGTCATGTTTACTTTATGCTCCTGCACCAGTGTTGTAAGAACACGACTTGTAATTGAATAAGTTTCTTCCTTTCCTGAGGATCGGGCCGAATGCCTCGGCAGTATATTGAGATGCATTTCCGGTTCGCGCCGGTCGACCCTCGGCAGTGTATACACCACTCTTGATCGGGCCGTACGTCCTCGATATAATCGTGCGTTATATTGCTAGCAGTCTGCATATTCATGAGATTCCCCTTTTATTGAGACCTGACATTTGTATTGTACTCCTCATTCGTTTGAGATTGAATTTGATGCTCTGGGATGTTAAGATAGTATAGGAGATTTGAGTGATTTATATCGTCAAAAGAAATGTTGGAGGATTATGTTAGTTATCATTTTACATCATTATTACTGTTGTGCTTTATATCTGTTTATGATTTATCATACTGATTTAGTGGACCACTAGTAAGTGTCGATGTCGACTCCTCGTCACTATTTCTCCAGAGTTAGGCTAGATACTTAGTGGGTACGCGTTGATTTACATACTCATTCTACACTTATGCACTAATGTGCAGGATCTGTCAGGTTCATCTGGCGATCATCTTGGCGCGTAGGCGCAACTGCTAAGGAGACTTTATGGTGAGCTGCATTCCTGGCTACGTATCGCAGCCCACAGAATCTCCATCGTATTATTTGCTTTATCCTGTCTAATTTACATTCCAGAAAGATGTTGTATTATTATTGTACTCCTTAGTTAATGCTCATGCACTTGTGACATCAGGTTTTGGGATATTCTAGTTGATGTCTACGGGTATGCACATTATTTTCACCCTTTATTCTTATGCCTTGCTAATTACTTATGTACCCATGATTTTAAATGAGTAAATTTCTTAGCCTAATAAAATTTATAATTTCATAAGTAGTAAAATGAATAATTAACGTGATAGTTCACCGTTGGCTTGCCTAACGACGACGTTGGGCGCCATCACGACTATAATGGGTTTTGGATGGTGACAACTTGGTATCAGAACACTAGGTTCACTTGGGTCTCATGAGTCATGAGTGAGTCTAGTAGAGTCTTGCGGATTGGTACGAAGACTTCTATACTTATCTTCGAGAGGCTACAAGGCTGCTAAGAACACTTTCCTTCTTGATTCCTCGTCGTGCGATTTGATTCCATTAAAGCTTATGCCTTCTCCTTCCCACTCATTCTTATACAATGTTGAACGTCGTTATCAATTGGGCATCGAAGAGTTATAGTGGTATTGCAGACGTGGCGCAGGATGTTCCTCCTTACGTATTCGGGCGGGCTATTATCATCGTCTTGTGGAAAGGTGCTATGTCATTTCAGCCCGGTGGTAGTGTTTCCTATGGTGTTGAGGCTATGCATAGTGTTCTACTTATATAGAAGAGTGCAGAAGCAGCTCGCCGTCGACATCCCTGCTTGATGAAGGAGGGTAATTCTAACATTTCACGTGAAACTGTGCTTTAATCCTGTGGTGCTAAATTGCTTTCTATATTGTACGTTTCCTTATCTGGACAAAATAACCATAGAATTGCTGAACCACTGGGTCCCAGTCGACGTTTCTGGCTGACGCATTTGCAGCCTTTTAAACTACTCTCTGACTATGTCGACCTTCTTTTCAGAAGTAACTTTAACAGTATAGTTACTTGTGTATATTACTAATTATGAACTGGTCTTTAAGAGTTTGCTCTAATTCAAGTTGATTTTTCTTTTTTTTTTTTTGCAAGATTTGGAGAAAAAATTCAGGATTTTTTTTCAACCATTGCTCATTAATAACTAGAGAAAAGTTTTCAGCACCGAGGATTTGACTGGTTAATTTTTTTAGTATACTGTATTTTCAAACATATTTTAAATTAATTACTGATTAGTAGTACTAGATGTAAATTTATTTTTAGAGTATTTTAAATGCTCCAAGAGTATCAAATGCTTGATACTTTTCGGTGATTTCACATGTACATTTGAGTATGTTTAGGCTATCATAACCATGCGCGGGGGCAAAGGTAGAGCTTCTGATGCGGGTTAGGCCGAACCCACTAGCTTTGGTCCAAACTCTATATTTTTTTTAAAAAGTTTTGAATATATAAAAATTATTAATTTAAAACTCCAAAGCCGTTAATTTTAAATCCTGACTCAGCCTCTGATGCGGGTCTACTTAAGCTCTTCCTTGAATGACTAAACCAATTATGCAATGTTAAAATCAACTAAATATGAATTAAATCAATAACTAAATTGCTAATTGATTTAAAGCTTAGTATGTTAAACTACTAATTAAACTCATAAAATTATAAGGACTAATAGATTAGAAAACATTATAGTAATAATATGCGAACCAAATAAACTCATAAAAATATAAGGATTAATAGGTTAGACAAAATTATTGTAAAGTTAATTGAGAAACTAATTTAAAGTTGAAAAACCTAAAATCTTATAACTTCTATTTACTTAAATACCTTTAAATGAGATGCCGTGTCCACAAACGACTATACTGTCTCACATTGTACTTATCTTATATATGAATAATTGCAGCTAATCCATTTCCATACCTGGCAATGTCTTATACTAGCTTACCCATTTCATGTTTGTGAGGAGACAGATTTTTAATTTTTAACTAATTCAACTCATTATTTATTAGAGGGATATTTATATTGTTATCAAATCATCTTGTAATATCTTTTACTATGGTTAACTTCGGTAATTTCAGTTCTAAAAAGCTCTTAATATAGCGACTGTATCAAATACTATTTGGGTTAGTAAAATACTTGCACAATGTTTTATGAGGTAGTTTGGTAAAGTAAGTTGAAAAAATACATATTTTTTGTTAGTTTTATCTTTGCAATGATAAAATGCTGAACTTCTTACGTATTGCAAGTGCTCCTGCTTGAAAAACGTTAACGATCTTACAAGTGATTCTTGTCTTCATCACAGAGCAATACTTTTTAAGCAAGACTTACCATGATACTCTTTATGCTATCAACAATATTTATCGAAATAAAACACGATCTAATCCAAAGTGTTGGGCCCGGGCAAGCCCTGGCCGATCCCATCTAGTATTATGATGTTCATGCATTGTTATCGCACAATGTTGGTGAGAATGGTAGAGTGCTTATTAATGTGTCACAACATTGAATGACACGAAAGAAGGATTTCTCGGTTCATGGTTTAGGAGTTTGGCATTCAAGTTCGGAGGAGGAGAGGCAATCAGACTACAGATGTTCAGGCCTTGGTTGACAGAGTAGCGAGACTTGATATTTCGAACATGGTGGAATTCTCATTTGTGATGTGGTGTCGTCGTCCTTGTTGAAACGTATTAAGGCTCCTCGGTGTTATTGTCTCCTTTGAATTGCCTTCGGGGCAGGATGTTGTGGAATGGTGCCTAAGAAGCGATTATTAGAGGTGGCGGTGTATGGCGGCTTCAGAGTCGAATCAGTGCTTCTACTGTTGATGGCTCGAGAGAGATGATCTTTATGGAGGCTCAGAGTTGGTGGCAATTTATCCGTTCGGGTGCTACAAAGACGGATTATGATCTGAGGCAGTATTTTGGCAGTGAAGGAGGAGGAAAGACACTGTGGGAGTTGTCTCGCGGGACAAGGGTCGAGAAGTTGCTTAAGGAGATGGTTTAACCAAAGTGGGAGTGGCAGAGTAGCGTATGCATTCTGTGGTAGGATAGCCATATGCCTTGAGAAAATTTGGAGCGATTTGGGGATCATGGTGGTCAGTGACTAGGTCTATGAATTTCACTCGGGATGGTGGCTACTGTACTGAGAAAGGTTGAGTATGATGGAAAGGAGTTTGCTTGGAATGAAGAGGGGTGTAAAAGCTCGATTATCATATGGGATGCAACGTGAATTCGAGTTTGGAACGTGTTATTGGACATCAATTGAAGTTAATAGGGAATAAACAGACTCTTACAATTGGCGGGTAAGCATGGGCTCAGAAGGGTTTACTGATTTCGTGGTAGTTGTACCCAGGGCAACGCCGTTGGAAGATGTCAGTAAGGAATTCCACATGGGGGCTATCTCCTGTGAGCAGGTTAGCGGTTGCGTGATTTTGATGAAGTTTCTACGAAGGGTTCTACTTACTCCGGTGCAATTGTGGCTGATAATTCAGAATGTTCATGGAAAGTTAAACAAGAGATTTCGAGAAATTTGGCGGGTTAACGATGCGAGATCATGGTAACTGAGGAGGAGTTATTATGGGTTCTGGATTTATGTATTTTATCTTAAAGCTAAATGGGGGAGCTCATTGTCTATGATTGAGTCACATGGTTGTGCGCTATTAGATTAGCTATGACTAAGGAAAGAAAACATCAAGGGTAATTTGGGAAAAGGACTTGATAAATGTGTGCTATATTTCGCCTAAACGATTAGTGTGCAGATTTTTGGATGACTTGATAAGTAGGGATTTTGACCGCTTATTTGCTCTCATTTACTTGCGTTTTAGCTCAAAAATGCTTAAAGGCATTCCTGAAAACTAATGTGCTTGCTTGTAGGAATATTGGGGAACGAGCCAAAGAAGTCAAAATCAACTCATAAAAAGAGTTAAAAGTGAACAAGAACCAAAACAGGTCAAAAAGGACAGCAGTGCGGACCGAACAATTCTAGTGCGGCGCAGAGGGGAGATTCAGAGAGTAGTGTTCGAGCAGCTAAAGGCATGCGGACCGCACCGAAATTGTGCGGCCGCAGGAGGTCAAGTGCGGCTGCATTTATTATTATGCGATCCACAGGATTGAAGAATCAGAGAGCTGTTTCAAGTCCAAAAGCAGGGAGTGTGGACGGCATCATATTTGTGCGGCCGCATAATCAGAAGTGCGGCCGCACCCATTTTTATGCGGACCGCACAAGCCCCGAAGTTCCAAGCCCAAGTTCCAAAGAATGCGGACCGCATGATAATTGTGCAGCCGCGGAAGCTCCTTGTGTGGACCGCACCGGAATTATGCGGCTGCACAACCTTCGCAGGGGCATTTTTGTCAGATATTTTCAGCTTAGTATAAATAGAACTTTTTGTCATTTTTATGTTAAGTTCTGTTTTCAGAGGAGCACCTGAGCCATTTTCTTTACTGTTTTGAGTAATTTTGTACTAGATTAACTTCTAAACATTAGATTTTCTTTCTCTAATCAATTATTATGCATCTATCTTAATTTCTTCTTGTATTTCTTTATTTTTTATGAGTAGCTAAATCTTTAGCTAGGGTTGTGGCCCAACCCTAGTGTGAGTACTTAATGGGTAATTAATTTTAGGGTTTGTTTGTGATTGGGTTAGTGATTTTTGGCCTTGTTCATGCTTGAATTCTATAATTAATGGTTGCAAACATTGATTCATGCCTATTTGACTCAGTCTCTACTTGAGAAAGAGAGACTAAGTCTAGGAAAACTTGGCTAACAAGGAATAGGGGTGAACTCAAAAAATTGATAGCCCCAACTAAAGGGTCAAATCTAGAGATAGTAAGAACCCGACTTGAGCATATATTACTTGATTTTTGCAATACCCATTTGGACTTGAGAAAGTCAAATTGGGCAAAATCACTCAAACTACCAAGAGGTATAGAGTGGGTAATTGCCTGTGATTACTATACTACAGCCCCGACTAATCAAACTTGCCTTAGAGTTTACAACCTGTTAGGTAACCACCTAGGTGTAAGTCACGACCCTAGATCCTTTATCCTTTCAAAAACAACTAAAACCAAAAACATTGTCTTCTAGTTTATTAATTGCAATCAATAGTTTAAAGTAGAAATAGAAACAACCAACAAGAATGTGGAAGTGCAAATTGAAGCACATTACACAGTTACACTAGGTGTATACCTAATCCTTTTTCTAACTCCCTGAGGAATCGACCCCGACTCGCATTGGGTCTTATTATTGTTTCGACCGCCTCACTAC